TCTGCTAACTTCTTAATAACAGTCATTTTGACATTTTATTTTACCTTTTTGAAACGTTTTTGTGACCAGCACATCTTATTATTTTTGATGTTTAAAAAAATTCAGGAATTTATTGTACTACTTCCCACTTCCTTCTTGGAAACTTTTGTAACAATGTTTATTTTGTTAACACAGATTCATTGTGCTTTCTTAAGATGCCTTCCTTAGTTTTTAAAGTAATTTGTGTCTGCCTTTTAGTTGCCAGTTAGTAAGTGGCTGTAGTTCTATTGAGGTTAGTTCTTCTTAGTGGCATTTAGAAACTTTAGTCAAAACTTGTTTGTTTTTCAGTTAAAAATTCATATTTAAATGGAATTAAAGTATTCTGATACATGTACGTCAATTACTCAGTTCTTTCTTTTCTTTACTTTTTATTTTTTCTTGGATATTCAAACATACGTATTTCTACATATTTTTATGGTTCTTTTCTCGCATTCTTTTACTTAACCGCTCAACTGAGGACTATTTGCACATTAGATTTTGGCTGTAGTTTGCCAGCAACTGGTTTTTGCAAGCTATGCCGGCTAGAAGGTTTTACATGCTTCGGTATTTTTTGATTTTCTGAGTGGCCAGTGCGGTTTCCTTTCACCATAAGCTGTATTCTTACTGTGTAGGTATTATTGGCGCATTTCTGTTTACGAGGTGTCGCTGGAGATCAAGCGAACAGCGGGTTGTGCTTGCTGGAAAAGTTCCCACGTTGAGGTCTCCGGTTAGCTTTTCTTTACAAGACTAATTCTGAGGAAATAAATTCAGAGAGATGTCTGTTTGGTTGTCCGTCATTCTTTTCCTATTGTTTAGTGCTGCGTTAATTTTGTTAATCGTGATGCCCGAAAAGAATTGTATGCAGAAAAAATTCTTGGCTTGCAACTATAGGGGTCGGTACAGTCGCAGCTTCCTACTAACCTATGACGGCTTCCGTGTATCCAGAGCGTTTATCATTAAATGCTCAGTAGTTTTGATCAGGCATATCTACGTTTCCACTGTTTTTAAGTTTCAAATTTTCA